TGGCAAGCACAAGGTTCCAAGTCTGAAACTCCAGTACCACATATGCACAAAAAAAGGAAAATAGCAGAGGAGATAGCTTATTGGTATTAAGCTCCTGTCTGGCAAGTACAAGGTCCGGAGTTCAATCCCCAGTGCAAAAAAAAAAAAAAAAAAGGAAAATAAATAAAATCAAAGTATAATGTCATAGAACAGAAAGAACAACTCTCTCTATTTTTTAAATTTATTTATTTGTGTGTGTGTGTGTGTGTCTGGCCAGCTCAGCCCACCAGGGGGCAGGGCTGGCTGGCCTGTGGTGCTGGGGGATTGAACCGTGGTCCCTCTGCTTTGTTAAGCTTGTTCTACATAGGCGCTTTAGACCACTGAGCCATCTCACCAGCCCAACTCTATATTTTAAAACTTTACTTAATGTTAATTGTAAACATTTTATATTGCCAAGGATTTTCACAGACATCCTCTTTGATAACGTTATATTTATTATAAATGTTTCCTTATAGACCAAATGTTTACTAAAATAGACAAGAATTACTAGACATGTTTTGTTCTTCCTTTCCTTTTCCTTCCCTTCCCATCTTTTAGGTCCCTTTCCGCTCCCTATCTCATCCTCCCCTCCCCTTCCTTTTTATTGAGCAGGTTTGGGCTCATGGCCTGTGCATGTTACCCAAGTAAGGCCATCTTTAAGATTCCTGGTATATCCCCAATCAAACTTTTTTTTTAATGTATTTTTTACAGGGTCTCATTACCCAGTTTGGGCTTGTACTGCTCCTCCTGTTTTCAGGCTCCCCAGTGCTGGGATTACAGGTGTGTACCACCACACCCAGTCTCCCGAGCCAGGGCAGGGCCAGCATAGCATGTGGTGTGGGGGACTGAACCCCGGTCCCTGCGCTTGACTAAGCAGGCCCTTAGTCTGCTGAGCTATCTTACCAACCCTCAAACTCTTTTTCAAACAGTTATAACTTCTTTTCTGGTCCTGGGGATTAAATCCCAGGCCTTGTGTATGTTAAACATATGTACTTCCACTAAGTTATGCTCCAACCATAAAGGTGGTAATTTTTTTTTTTTTTTTGGTATGTAGTGCAGGGTCTAGAGTCTTCAAGGTCTCACTACACAGGTCCAACTTGTAGTGATTCTCCTGTTTTCAGCTTCCCAGGAAGCTGGAATTCCCAGGGATTACAGGTGCATGTCACTATGCCCAGTCTCGTTCACCCTCTCAGCACACCCTGGGGGTGGGGCTGGCATGGCAGGCTGGGGAGTGAACCTCGGACCCCTGCATCTGCCTAAGCAGGCACTTTCATCCACTGAGCTCTCTGGCCAGCCCTGTAATAATTTTTATATATGCCAATAACATGAGAATGCCTACTTCATTAAATCCTTATAAATCTACTAACAATTACGAACATAATTTAAATCATTTTGTATTATTGATGACAGCTTGATATTGGTTACCATGACAAAGTTTAAAACCCTGACAGGTATTGTTTTAATATGTAGACTTTGTAATAAAATTAACATTCTTCATATTTTTTGTTGACTTTTATTCTCTCTTGAGAATTATAGGATTCCATTATTGTTGCTATTTTATGTTTTAAATGAGAAAATAAAAATCTCCTGGGGGAAATATAAAACAAAATATATTTATATAAGTAATATAAATATATTTAAAAAGTAAATGGCATAAACGGTTTCCACTCATTAAACTTTCTAATTATTTATGATTAAAAATGTATGTAATAAGCCAGGCATGGAGGCTGAGACAGGAGGCTCACTGTGAGTTCAAGGTCAGCCCAGGCTATATAAATGAGTTCAAGACCAACCTGGGCTACACAGTATAACCCTGCCTCAAAAAAGAGCCAGGGCCAGGGATATATAGTTCAGTGGCACCACAGCAGTCTCGCAAGTGCAAGGTGTTGAGTTCAATTCCCAGTGCAAAAATAAACAAATTAAACAATTATATAACAAAATTTAAAAAGTATCGTAAGAAAAATAGCTTAAAGGGCTGGCCAAATAGCTCAGTGCAGGGCCAGGGAGATGGCTCAGTAGAATAAGCGCTTCCCTGGCAAGCACAAGGGCCTGACTTCAATCCCCAGTTCCGCAAAAAAAAATTAAAAAAATAAAGAATAGCTCAGTGGATTAAAGTGCCTGCTTAGGCAGACACAGTGGCCAAGGTTGGATCCCCTGCATGCCTTGCCAGTGCCAGTGGCCCTGCCCTCGGGGTGCGCTGAGACTACAATTGAGACTGGGTGTGGTGGCACGTGCCTGTAATTCCAGCTCTTCAGGAGACTGAACAAAGGCAGATCACTACAAGTCCAACTATGTAGTGAGACCATGAGACCCTGTAGATCCTTACTAAAAAATACAAAAAAAAAGAAAACGAAAAATGGCTTTAAAATTTATACATAAAATAAAATTAGGTTAAGTGGAAAGCTTATTTTCTAACTTATGCTAAATAGAAAATAAAGTTAAATATTCCATATAATTAGACGGTCTTATACAATGTTAGCATTTATTTAGAAATCTCTGGGCCCTAGTAGTACTCCCCTCAGGTGAATGGGGCTTGCAATTCAAATATTTACATTCTGAGAGGGTAACTGTGCATGAATTACCATAATAAGTACACAGTACTTTGTCAAATGACCAAAGCTTAAAGGAAACAAAGTTAAAAAAAACAAAAAACAAA